ATGTCATATTTCTTTTACTGCTAATTATCATTTCTGGTCTGTAATATTAACTAGTTTTAAACCAGGAACAATCTTTTAACTTTGCTTAATATGATGTAGGTTTTAAGTTGAATTAAGAGAGCCTAGATAGAATCAAACATAATTCTCTGATAATTTTAGCTGATACAAAATAGATTTAATCGATTAAAAGAAACACTTACATAGGAAATTAACATCCAAATAATTGATTAATTAGCGTATCAATCGATTAAAATCTATATGTCATGTATTTGTATCAACTAAAACTAGTTTACATCAATCAAATCAGCTAAATAAGATACTATTCTGATTTTGATGGATCTATTGGTTAAAACTCACTCAATCTAGTTGATATTATCTTAAAACATTTTCCTAATGATCATTTTTACAAAATCCGCACTGAATTAGGCATTTTAGATGCATCAAACATTACTTAGTTTTTCAAAACTGGTTGTTTTAATCGATAAAAACAAGCTTCAAATCAATTAAAAGCACTAATACAGCATTTTTATCACTGTTTTAATCGATTAAATGTCGATTTAATCGATTAAATCAACTTTTGTTTCAAACTTTCGAAATTCATCACTGTTTTAATCGATTAAAACATTATTTTAATCGATTAAAACTAGTAACAAGATCATTTTAATCGATTTCGTCCTGTTTTTAATCGATTATTACTCTGGAAAGAAAAATTAAAGGCTTTAGTTAATGGTTATTCTTGTAACATGCTACTAAAGCATGATTCCCTTATCTTTACACGTGTTAATTGTATTCATTACAAACGTGTTAATGAAGATAAGTTTGAATCAACTTTGATTGGTCTTTACATGAGTAAGGTATCTTGTTCAAATCTTTTACTGTTTTTCAAAAACTGATACATATCATGCTTAGTTTTGTTCCTTTGTTCCCTATTTTTGATGAAGTCAAAAGGGGGAGAAATAATATTGATTTTCTTTATTTAGGGGGAGTAGCAATATAGGGGGAGAAATGAGAAAATGATTAATTTTTGAATACTCACTAATCTATATATTCAAGCGACTTCTTCTGCAGAGTTATTATTCAAAGAGGTGTTTGTCTTCATCAAATAGGAGGAGACTGAAAGTGATGAAGATCTTATTGAATTACTTTGGCAAAGATCTTGTTGATTTGATGAAGTCAAAAATGAAGTCAAAGGCTACTTTGTGGCAGTCAAAGGTCACTTAGATAAAAGAGTAGTGGGATTAGTGAGTCTACATCTCTACTTAGGTATAATCATTTTTATCTCTCTGCTGCATGAGGTTTCTTCATTTAAAAGATTTTGCAAATGCCTCTAAAAAATGTTTAAACAGTTAAAAACAAAGTATTTTGTTAACAGATTTTTAATTAACTATTTTAACTAATAATATATAAGCTTTATCAACTAAAATGTTCTTAACACTTTTGTTACAGGTTTTTAACTGATATATTTTTTAAATAATCGATTGTTTTCATTAGAAGGATTTTTGAAAACCTTCACGATATTTTAACCGATATAGAATTGATATAATCGATTAAAATGACTTAGAATATTTTGAAAAGTGTTCTGCGTAATTTTAATCGATACAAACTCGAAATAATCGATTGAAATAACTTGAAGTGTTTTGAAAGTTGTTTTGTCGATATTTTAATCGATACAAATGCGAAATAATCGATTAAAACAACTAAGAGGTTTTTCCAGAATGTTTTAATCGATTAATACAAGCTTGCTATCAGTTAAAATAACTTAGAAAGTTTTAAGAAATCTTTTGGCAGAATTATAATCGATTAAAATGCGTTTCAATCGATTAAAATAACTAAGTGAACTTTTTTCAAAGTGTTTTAATTGATTAAAACATATTGTTATCAGTTAAAATCACTTAGAAAAGTTTATAAGAATGTTTTGTAGTATTTTAATCGATTGAAAGACGAAACAATCGATTAAAACAGTTTGGAAGATTTTTTACAAAGAGTTTTAATTGATATAAACGGTGTCGTATCAGTTAAAACAAATCTGGAAAATAATCAAGAACTTTTTAACAGATTAAAAGAAGTTTTAACAGATTAAAACAAGACTTTTAACAGATTAAAAAATTATTTTAACAGATTAAATAAACCAAGCAATTTTAAAAATCTTCTATATAAACAGAGTTGCTTGAACTTTTTTAAACACATCTTTTAGCAATCAATCAAGCAATCATAAGTGCTACTTTCAAGAGAGAATCACGCTAGTTTTGTGAAGTTCATAGAAGTTCTTTCTTGAGGCAAAATTTGCATTCTCTTGAGAAGAAACTCATACTGTAGAGTTGCATAAATCTGGTTTGAGCGTTCTAGTTTCTTCTCTTTGTTTCTTTACTTTCTTTACTTGTATTGTGGGTGTCTCGGAATTGTGGGCACTGATTTACGTAGAATGGAATTTGGCTCAGTAGGTTGGTCAAGAACTGGAATTTGGTTCTTGGTGAAGGTTTAGGTGCGTGAACTGGAATTTTGGTTCTTGTGGTAGATTGAGTGTGAGATTAAAGTTGTAATCGTGAAACGTTCAATCTAGTGGAACCCACTGAATTTGGCTGAAACTGGACATAGCCCTGGATTGGGTGAACCAAGTATAAATCTTGGTTGTATCTTTCTAAACCTTTCTCTCTTTTAATTCTGTTACTACCTTTATTTTGATTGCTTGCTGTGTGTGATTCAAGAACTGGTCAGAATTCTTAATTTTTGAAATAAATAATCTGTAAATTGCGAAAATCTTTCAAAGATTAATTCACCCCCCCTCTTGATCTCAGCCTACATTTCTAACATTCTTAAGGTATGAAAAAAAGACACAAATGAAAATAATTTTTGACATAGAGATGTGATGTACTGTAGTTTGGAATGTTGTCTTTCTTTTAAAGACCCCACCTTCAAATCTGTTGGTGTTTCATTCCTCTAGAAAATCAACATCTCCCAAATAGATTACAAGATTTTTTAGCATTCTCACCAAAACCAACCAGTCGATTTCTTCTTAAATGAAAGCCTAGTTGAAATTTAGAAATGCTTTAAACAAAGTCCTCATTAGAAAAACTCTACAAGGCACAAACAACCAATGGATCACAGTTTTCCCACAAATTCAACCTCACTTACACCAGCCATCAAACCTCCACATACACCAACCATCATCACGGTTCCTTCAACTCAAAGTCTGTTACAATTCATTCTACCACGCCAGTTCCCTCAACCCCTACAACAAAAGCCAATCCAGGGGAGCAACCAACTACCACCCTGTGACTTCTTATCCTTCCTCACCAGAAAGTGTTTCTACAACAAAAAACACCAATACTCAAAACAATTCACCACAACAAGAACTACTAGCAACATGAGCACAAGCTAGAAACACAATAAACAATAGGAAACCCAAAACCACCATTACATTTGAAAGCTCATTTTCACAATCATATAAATCCAACACAAGTAATCAGAGATGGGGATAAATAAATAAAATTAGAATAGCCAAAGGGCAGACAACAAACATGTCACAGTTTCTTAAAGCAAAAAAATCATATCAAACAATCTGAGGGGAGATAGTTCAACATATGGCAAGAAAATAGTTGGATACTACCGAAAGGATTGTTTGTAATCCCAAACACCATCACTTGGTCTAAACAAAATCATGAACAGTAATCTCAACCACCATCACTTGATCAAGAAAAGCAAAATAAATAAATCAACTCAAATCATAGAGAGCAGAAACTTACCTTGACATAAACATAGAAAGTAGGGCTAGCGATGCAGACAACGTGAGCATGGACGCCACTGCAGAGTGGGAACTTCTTTGGAGCTTCCTCCAATAGTGATGTTGCTGCTCGACGACGATTTCTTTGAGGGCAGCGACAGTGTGTGAGCTAATGCGCCTAATCAGACAATTAGAAATGCGCCTAATCGAAAAATTAGAGAAAGAGAGAACCCCGTGAGCACCGGGAGAGGAGAGTGAAATGCAGAGTGAAGACTGAAATGAAAAAATGTGAAGAGAGAGAAGAAGAAACAAACGAAAGGAAAAAAAGAATTACTATACATTTAATATTTTTTATTGCAATTATCCGATGTTTAAAATGAGATGTCGAAATATCAGACAAATAATCTATTTTTTATTAAATAGAATAATTTAAATTTAAGTCAAATCTCGTCTTGAATAAAAAAAATAAACGTTGAATATCATATAGAAGAAATATTAACAACCCAGATTGAATCTTCGTTTATATTGGGTTCGTATCGATATATTTTTTTTAATATAATAAATAAAAAATAAATTTAAAATTTAATTAATTAATTAATATGTTTAGTTGTCTTTTTCCTATGTACTTCTTTCTCAACTCAAATAAAATATAAACATTGGAGGACACTTTTGAACATAAGGATATTTTTTAATATAAAAAATGGCTTATAATTTAAGTATTTAATTTTTATCACAAATTTAAAACTTTAAATTACAAATTCATTGGTGTAATTATTATCACCATGCACTTCCAATCAATATTGAATCTTTCTTGTTCAAACTTATGAAAAATATGACATGTATAATTAACTACTCGTTAAAATTATAATTATTAAGTATAAAAGGACAAGTAATTAAGACCAACATGATTTTTGAAGATTTTCAAAAGTACTTTTTGTATTCAGGCTTTAAAACAGTTAAAATAAGAAGCAAAATATATAATGACACTGATGTGTAATTGTTTTAAATAATTTGGATTTTCTTAATCATCTACAATAATCCAATTTAATTAAATGTTTTCTATAAATTCTACACAGATGTATTTTAAACAAAAAGAGATAAAAAAAAAAAATGACCCCAAAGTTGATGGAGAACTGGGCCTAGTACCAGTGTAAAGTACAAGAGTGTTGTTTTGTTCAGCCCAGACAAGTTTGTGTCGTGGATATGACTTGCTTCGTCTATTTCTTCCACCGGTGACTCTAAACTACGCGCACGTGTTCCGACCAGGGCAAATCGGAAAATGGGTGTGGACTATTACAAACTTCTTCAGGTAGATCGAAGTGCCAGCGATGAGGATCTCAAGAAAGCTTATCGCAGGCTTGCTATGAAGTGGCACCCTGATAAGAACCCTAACAACAAAAGGGAAGCTGAAGCCAAATTCAAGCAAATCTCGGAAGCCTATGATGTATGTTTTCTCTCACCCAACAATTTGTCTCGATGTGGAAAAAAAAGTTAAAACTTCAATCGAAGTTTTGTTTATTTTGTGTGTGTGTGGATGGTTTGTTTCTTACAATTTAAACTTTTTGTTGTTGAATTTTGTATTCTTTGATTTGGAGGATTGGAATTATGGATGTTATACCGATATATTTTTTGTCACCCAATCTCAATGTAATGCCACTTGGGTTGTGAAAACAATATCAATGCTTCCATTTCTTTTAGTAGATTTCTGCAATTTAATTTTTGGGTGCTCAGCTTTACGATTGTGAGAAGTTTTCTTGTGATTTGGATCTTTGGAATCATGGGTTTTGGTGGTGATTTGATTTGTGAATAGGTTTTGAGTGATCCACAAAAGAGGGCAGTGTATGATCAGTATGGTGAGGAGGGATTGAAAGGGCAGATGCCACCCCCGGGTGCCGGTGGATTTTCCAGTGGCAGTGATGGTGGACCAACGATGTTCCGGTTCAACCCAAGAAGTGCAGATGATATATTTTCTGAGTTCTTTGGGTTTTCTAGTCCCTTTGGAATGGGGGATATGGGCGGCCGAGCCGGTCCATCTGGCTTTCCCAGATTTGGGGATGACATTTTTACTTCTTTTAGTAGGAGTGCAACTGGAGAAGGCTCTGGCAATGTGCCAAGGAAAAGTGCACCGATTGAGAGAACACTGCAATGCAGTTTGGAGGATTTGTACAAAGGGACTACCAAAAAAATGAAGATTTCCAGGGATGTGATTGATGCTAGTGGGTAAGCTATATAGTTTTAACTTGTTAACAACTCCAATTTCTTACTTCCACGACCGACATAAGTTGCTTGTTGTAATTTTTATTGGATGGATACAAGTTGCTAAATTCCAATTCAGGTTTGATTATTTGCTTTTGTAATATATGCTTGTTTGAGTTTGATAATCACTTTCCTCAATGGTTTTGGAATCTGATGCATAGATACTTCAATTTGTTTCATGTAATTCGTATTTGATATGTACTACCAATACACTCTAGGATACTTCACCGAAGCACAAATACTTTTATGATGGCAATGAATTATAATTTTTTATTTTAACAATGTCTAAGAAATGTGATTTTAATTTGGATCCACGCAATTGCAGTTATATATTTATGCTTTAATGTATAGTTCCTTGTTATTTTATAAAATAAGTATATTGTTGTGTCCGCTACTCATTGTATTGGATACATGTATGGTATCTGTGCATCATAGGTTTTGGTAGATTTGAATTTGAAATATGCGTTCATACTTATGAGATCTTTTATTTGTATGAAGATCTTTAACTCATAATACTTGAGTTGGATCTGTATATTTACTTGCAATGCACTTTTTCCTTGAAGATTTTTCTTAACTTTTTATGTGAATATATGGCACAGTACTTTGCTATCATTGTGTTTATAATTTAATCCAAAAAAGTGATAGAAAATAACTGTATATTTTCTGTTAGTGTTATCCATTAAAAAATTCAAAATAATTAGTTATGTTGTATGACTTTTTGGCCATATTTTATCTTGTCATTTGCTTCTTTTCATTTTTCATTCAAAAATCAAAGGATTTAGATATTATTACTATGAGAATATGCACAAAAGGAATGCCATTTGCGTTCCATAAATGCATAAGGCAAAAGATATGATTGTACCTTTTTTAAAGACTTATCTTTGTTATGTTTTAATCTAGACGGTCCTGTTAACTCTTAATCTATATGGAGTATATACCACTTTGTGTTAGTTGTTTCAATACCAAAAATATCGTGGGGGAATGAATCTACTAATAAAATGAGGATGTTAAATGTGGAGTTTAACATATCTGTAAAGCTGGGAAAAGATAGATGATTTGTTTTGTGGCATAGAAGAAATAAACGGGAATTTAGCCATGTTTGAATATTCAGTTTATGTCCATTGTTAGTGAAAGAAGAGGCCATTTATGTTAGTGTATTGCTGGTTGTTGGTACACTGACGGGCATATGTCGTTGTTGATAGGACAAAACTAGTATACATACTATAGGTATTGATGGTGTTATTCTCCAATCAAATGGGTGTTTTATCATGGAAATCAGTGCTGATTTTATGTACATGATGAAAGCTGCAATTACTGAGATAAAAATATCGGTTTTGATTGGAGAACAATACGAACAATAACTATAATGTTTATCTAAGTTTTCTCCTTATTGATAATGACTTGGATATTTTATATCCATCAGGTGATAAATAGTATGCTTTTGGACTTAAGGTATAGGCATGATGGAAGAATATTTATCCAAAATTATTGAAAAATTCATTTTGGACTGTGATTTGATTGGAACTTAGTTGGTTTGTATTTTCCTAGCTTACACTGCTTGTAGTGATCAGAAATTGTGCTTTGCATCCAAATCCAACTATGAAATCAAATGCTAATTTCGTGTGTTGGTTTAGCCATCAAGTAAGACTTAGTTTAGACATAATGGAGTGTGGGGACAAGGAGTAACTCTCTTAACAGTTACTCTAGGAGTAACTTGATCCTTCCTTGTATATGTTTGCAAATTAAAACTATGTTTGCAAATTGATTAAAACTAGATCCAATGCACCAAAACTATGAAGCAACAGTTGTTGTGAAGCAAACACACTAAATTTGTGTTAAGTGGGAACTTTTAGCTGTCAGGCATGTTTATATACAATGCATATTATGTCAGACAGTGAATATCGTCATAAAGGGTTCTCTTTTCATTGAAAATATTCTTCATGTCATTGATTACTTGTTCCAGAAAATAGAAGGATATTTATTGCATGCCCATATGTTCCAGAAAATAAGTACCAAGTTGTATAACTGTTCAATAAGGAAACTTGTTAACATAGAGAAGGAATCAAAATCATTCCCCTGTTTTTTATTTGTTGATTTTAGGTATATTTAAAAGTAATAGCAAGTTGGAATAGTAAATTGAGTTACCAAGCAAATAATCTACTACCTGTTTTCTTATTGTGTAGGAGGCCCACCACTGTAGAGGAAATTCTAACCATTGAGATCAAGCCAGGTTGGAAGAAGGGAACAAAAATAACTTTCCCAGAGAAGGGAAACGAACAAAGAGGAGTTATACCAGCCGATCTTGTTTTTATTATTGATGAAAAACCTCATGGTGTCTTCAAAAGGGATGGCAATGATCTTGTTGTCACACAGAAGATATCCCTTGTTGAAGCTCTGACAGGTTACACGGCACAACTGACAACTCTTGATGGCCGGAATCTCACCGTATCCACCAACTCCATTGTTAGTCCGACATACGAAGAAGTGATCAAAGGAGAGGGTATGCCCATTCCCAAGGAACCTTCCAAAAAGGGAAACTTGAGAATCAAGTTCAATATCAAGTTCCCCTCTAGACTTACGTCAGAGCAGAAAACTGGCATTAAACGATTATTGACATCTCCATAAACTCTGGTGATGCCTCTCCTTACCACATCAAATAGTGAAAGAGTGGAATTATTTACTCAGTTTGCAATTTTCAAATGGAAATTCTTTCCTTTTGCAAGTTGGTTTTCAGATAGAACAGTTTATTAGAAGTTTGATATTTGTTTGTTGTTTCATATTTTATTTAGATTCTGGTTTTCTGAATGAAAAAAAAAATTCTCTCAACCAGTTGCCTACTTGTTTCTGCTAAAATGTTCTGGAAGATTTCAATTTGTACACTTGTAGATTAGGATCTTCATTTTTTGTCATCTCTCTTTTTGGTTGTATAGTTCAATCATTCAGCAATCTACACACTTTGAGGGTTTATTGAAACTACATATTGACTTTATAATGAGTTTATGTGATTGGCGTGTTTACACCCAATTTTGTTAATTATAAAAAATTGAATAAAAAGAAAGCAAAACTAATTAGAAAAAAATCTGAAAATACTAAAAAAACATTTTAAAAATAATAAAAAGGAAGATGGATAAGTTAAAGAACATGAGAGAGATTACGGAATGTTTGGGTTTAACCCAAGTTTAAAAATAAACCAAAGTGTGGTAAGATTTAATATGACCATTATTAAAGAGTATTTTTCTAAGCTTTTACCATTAAGTTCTTTTTCATGCTCACAAGTGTTATAAATATAACTATTTCAATTATCATTATTACTTATAAATACACTACATTGTGCTGAGATTGTGAGAGAAAAAGTTAAAAGTTTTTTTTTTTTCTTTCTTTCTCCTATTTCTATAGACACTTAGATCTTTCAAATTGAATGTTTATAGCTTTAGTTATGATTTACTTATGGTAAGTATGTTAAAGCGAATAAATATATTCAACAATTGGTAAACCTACAACTTCATACGTCATTTTTATTCAAAATTTCTTTGAATTAGGTCGAGGTTGAGAGAGATATAATTGAAGATTGTTTTCTTCTCTTTCCATAGACACGAGGAGTGTTCAAGCGATTTTCTAGCTCCAATTATGGCTTATGCAAGATAGACACATGGAAGTGAATAAAAATAAAAAAAATTATGAAAATGAATCCTTTTATTAGCTTAGTATCACACGATTTAGTTCTCTTCTTGTCTAACCAATACATATAAAAAAAATTATATTTTGGAAGGAAGAAAATATAAATTAATGTTTCTAAATTTGAGAAACTATCTTACTATTTCTATAAACTTTTATTTTGAGTTTTTTTTTATCTTATTTAAAAAACAAAAACATATGTTTAACTCTTACTTAATATTATATTAGATGAACATTACCTTTCGTGATGATATTTGGGAGATATTAGATTATTCCTAATCTTAAACATATTTATTCTTAATTTCTTATATATATATATATATTATCATAAAAAAATTATAACAATAAATAAGCAAGATTCATATAAATTATTATTATTTTAAAATCTATTAGATTGAATTTTGTTGAAGTTACCATTCTAAACTTATCTTTTATTTGGGTTGAGAAATTGAGAAAGTAAATTTGAGGTGATTTGAGTAGATTTGTAGAGTTGTTTGGAGTGAGGGAAAGATTGTGAAATTGAAGGGTTTTTGGTAGATTTATGGTAACTTATGTAATTGAATATAGGATAATTGAATAATAATATTTTTAGTATAATGATCAAATTATCCTTATGAGATGAAATAGGATATTCATACAAATGAAAAAAAATTAACGAAGACAATTCAAACATTTAATATTCAACTACCAACTTTCTCACCATTTAAGGATAAATTTGTAGGAATGTAAGACTCACATTCTCATGGTCCTAAATTCATTCAAATTAACATAAACAAACCAAGCACAAATCTCTTGCTTCAAATCCTCTACCTACTATAATGAATTAGTATAAACAAATAAAGCATAAATATAATTAAAAAAAATAGAGATAATAAAAAAACCTATAAATAAGAAATTAATAAAAACAATCATAGATTAAAATATTATAGATGATTGTAGTTAGTACAATTCCAGTTATCAGTAATGCATCAAAATTATACATTTGAAAGTTTTTAGAAGTTATTCTTGTAGATTGCTAAACCTCTAAGGTATAACAAAGGCTTGCATGAAGCATGTAAATTTGTACTTAGCAAATATGATGGGCACCTATCATGTTCCTGAAATGAAAAACTTCACTTTTGTTTGTTTTGAGATACTATTGGAATTGAACTGTTCCACCTCACCAGAACTAAAGCATATGCTTGACCCTTTTTCCCCTTAATTCCTGATGTTAAGGGAATCAAAACTCTTAACCTCTTTGTAAGGCAAGCATCTTCAAAACTTTTTGCTAGAGGGTTACCCTCACAACCAATTCTACCTAGCTTTAAGCTTTGCATTACCTTTTACTGTTGGCAAAATTTGGGTCATGTATATATATGATATATAATTTAAATGTGTTAGGGTCATTATTTATTAAGCCAAATAATAAAGTGATCTGACTAAATTAAAGTTTTGGCTAAAGGCATATGTCATGAAAATAAAATTGTGTAGAGACCATAGAGCAATTTCTAATTTGATGAGGGACCAAATTGGAAATACTAAAACTTAAGTAATTAACCTAATTCTGGTTATTTTAAAGGGTCGTGGTCCCCTTCGGGAGCACACACACGAACGTAAGTATCGGTCTCGTTCCTTTCTTTCTATCCCCATCAAGAGAGAAAATCAAGAGGGAAATACAGGTGCTCTTCGGTGGAAGACCATAAGATCAATATAGTGCTCTACAAAGACATCATCATTATGGCTAATTCGGTACGCTTTCGCATTCAGTTTACAGCATGTTTATCAGTATGAGATTATGTTTATGTTTGATCGTTAGAATCAAAATTAGGATTATTATTATTATTATTTTTTCCAACAATTGGTATCAGAGCCGCCCATATTTGATTCATGTCTGTTTAATTTATAGAACCCTAATTATAAAAATTAGGATTAATTTTGTTTTAAACAATTCAAATTACCCAATTTTATGAACCCTAAGTGGAGAATAATCTCTAATTTTCGTGAACCCTAAAATTTAAATTTGGGGGTAACATCCCCAATCTGATTCTGCTTGCTGATGGAACTGTGGAGGAAGTTATGGATTATTCTTCTTCTTCGTTTTTCCCTTTTGTTTCAGTTTAAGTTTCAAGTTTTACTGAGAAAGAAATAGTGTTTCAAATTTCAATCTTTCTTGTATTGGGTTCTTTGTTCTTTTTTTGAATCTTTTGTTTTTATTTAATTTTATGAGTTTGGAATTGGGGGTGGTGTTTGGGGAATTCCCAACATAGAGGATCTTAGGCAACTGGTGAATGTTTCCACATGTGTGGCTGTTATTATTTTATTGCCTCTATCCCCTAGGAATTTAAGGAAAATTTGATGTTAAATTAGGATTTGAGTGATTACTTGTTTAATTCCCTTTTAGGGTTTAGAAGCAGTATGCTAAAGAGACTCGAGAACTATATCTATTTCATCCCTAGTGTGATTTTAGGGAGATGTTCATCCTTTATGTATTGGTGGAAGATGAGGCCTTTTTTCATCCTTTGATTTATTCAAATGAGGTGTCCATCCCTAATGAGATTTTAGGGAGGTGTTCATCCTTAGTAGAATTCTAATGAGGTGATTCTCTTTTGAATTAGTTTGCAAATATTAAATATTTGGTTTTGTTATATAAATAAAATATTCAATTTTTGGTAGTTTAATATTTTTTTGTGAGCAAATTGAGTCAAGAAGTCACCAAAGTAACTTCTCTTGAATTGGGCAGTTCATGAAAAATATTGAATGTTAGTGTTTGTGTATATTCATGCGAGTATTAGTCGGCCCAAAGGAAGATTAATATTTGGTCGAATTGCATACACACTTGTAATGATAAACATGTGATAATTATAAGGATTTGCTTTGTCGACGATAAATCAATCCAAAGACTGGTTTGTTGTTGGACGTGCTTTATTGTCAATGTTTGATTATTACAACAAGATACCTCTAGCAGTTAATATTACTCGTCCAAAGACTTGATATTGATGGTGCATTGGGTGTCTTGAGATGGGTTAAACCACTATTTGAATATATATTATTTATTTTTTATACAATGTGAGCATAATTAGTTTATTTCTCGTGTTCTAAATTCAGCTACAATTGCTTTTGTATCTGCCAATTTAAATTCTGTTTCGGTCCTCAATTGAACAAATTTTAAGGACTGGAAAGAGAATATTGATATTATTCTTGGTTGCATGGATATGGATCTTGCGTTAAGGACTGAGCAACCCCCTACTCCTACGGATTCAAGTACCTCTGAACAGAAAAGAGATTATGAGAAGTGGGATCGCTCAAATCGCATGAGTCTAATGATCATTAAGCGCGGCATCCCGGAGGTGTTTAGGGGCACTGTTTCTGAAAACATCACAAGTTCCAAAGAATTTCTTGCTGAAATTGAGCAGCGCTTTGCAAAAAGCGATAAGGCGGAGGCAAGCACTCTTCTTCAGAACTTGATCTCCATGAAATATCAAGGCAAAGAAAATATCAGGGAGTATATTATGAGCATGTCTAATATTGTTTTTAAACTCAAGGCACTAAAGCTTGAACTTTCAGAAGACTTGCTCATTCATTTGGTGTTGATTTCTCTTCTTGCAACGTTTAATCAATTTAAGGTATCTTACAACTGTCAGAAGGATAAATGGTCTCTTAATGAACTCATTTCACATTGCGTACAAGAAAAGGAAAGACTAAAGCAAGACAAGACAGAAAGTGATCATTTTACAAGCACCTCCAAGGCTAAGGGCAAAAGAAAGAGATCAGAGGATCTCGAGAAAGAAGGTGCTAAGGGTCCAGAACAAAAGAAACAAACTCAAGAAAACAAATGTTTCTTTTTCAATAAGACTGGACACGTAAAGAAGAAATGTGCTAAATATCATGTTTGGCGTGAAAAGAAAGGGTTGCCTAAACTACCGGAAGCCAATTGATTCTGAAAGATGGATTTATATTGGAGATGGCAAATC